TTACATTGATTCCATTATAGTCAGTTCAAGATGAAATTTTCAGAGTGTCCAATGACGCGCGGTAGTTTACCCAACTTGCATTCAGACTCGGTTGGCGGCGAAAATAGCGGAGACTCTACCGAATCATTAATCGATGAAGCCGAGGATTATCTACGGCGAAGCATCGATTCTATGCTAACAATATCAAGTATCGGTATGGATTATTGGAACAAACAGACAACAAGACGAAGAAGAACGCGAAGGCATTCGGAGCCGAACTTAATACGTGATTGGCATCCTCCTCAGGATGCCAAGCCATATTTGCCAAAGGTATTATATTCATATTTTTTTTACAGTTTGATCATTTTATTTTGAATACTTTAAATTATATAATTGCTCAAATTTTTATATGCACTCTTTAGATACCAAGAGATCTCAAATTGGATCATCTTGTCAAGGTCATATCGCCGGAAGGCAGGGTCCTCCAAGGTCGCGTAAGATATGTAGGTCCTGTTCCAGGTCGAGAAGACACGCATGTGGGAGTGGAACTGCCATATGTCAATGGTTCATCTGATGGTACTTTTCATGGTAGAAGATTTTTTGATTGGTAAGCTTATGAAATAATTTTAAAATGCAGAATATTTTGCAGACATGTATTACGAATAAAAATTTAAAGAATAATATTTTTTTTTATTTGAAACTACATTTATAAGAAGAAAAGTATAATTTTTGAATATGAAAAAATTATAAAATTAAATTAGCCTTTTTTGTATTTGTTTCTCTAATTTTTTACACAATTTCACCAAAAAGGTATTTTGTAATACACTTTTCGTTTTTAATATTTCTGGATAAATGCTACATAGAATATATGTCATCAAATTGGAATTTAATAAATCCTTCATTTATATTTTAATAATTTTAATAAAGATAAATGTCATTAACAGCGATCCGGATCGAGCAATCTTCGTCCCGTTTAAGAAAGTGGTGCTTGCTTGGTGCACCATTTGACCCGAAGCATCGGTCACTATAGTCACCCCTCGTATTCTACTCTCCCAGTACACTATGTAAGAATTCGATGATATACAAGTCATACTTGTGGATATCCATCTTTAAAAACTAATCAGTTTTTGATTAGCGAAATCAGCGAGATGACTATTCCTGATCTGTGGCGATTCTATCATTCTACTGTTCTCTACTATATGAATCATCTAATTACATGTTAAAATATCAAAATTTAAAAACCTTCAAACACTAGTCATAGCAAATCTATCGAAATATGTACATTAAAACTCGTCTTAAATTGCACCCAGAACATTCGATGTCTCTTTAAATGCAGCAAGCATTATGTGATCATAATTTTCACACATAACACGCACGCACACGCGCATGCAGAACAGGATGTACATTAAGTAAGTAAAAAGAGTTTAAGGGATGATTTATTGCACAAAACATTTAAGATAAAAATTATATGATGTTATGTTTGAAATGGCTTAGTTTAAAAGATATTGAGTATTAAAAAATTTCGGTTTTTTTTTTTAAGTAAAAAATCGTTCAAGTTTTTTATTGATAATATATTGGATTGGTTCCTGCTTACATTATGATCTTACGGTCTTTACTATGATTGGCCAATTCACTTACTACTTATGTTTTATTGCTTAAATTTTTTTTTGTGCTATAGCCCTTACGCTTCATAATGCATAAACCCATATAATTTCAAAATAAAATGAAAGTTTATTATTTACGTTGCAGCTTTGTGCCAAAAAATGATGATTTGCATTATTGGCAACGCCAGTTATGCAATCATAGTTATTCCACCATGAGTTATGTCAATCGTAAATCAATCAAAATAAAAAGATGCGACTAGTGTGCCTCTTATGACACGTTCAGATTCCCACCCTAGTATTATGCTTTCCATGTATTATGTTATCCTTGTTTAGTAATTAGTGAACAACAAGGATAAAATGATATCAGAATTTTAATATAATTGATCATTGCCCCATCTCAGTATGAGGAATCACCCCTTAAAATCTTTTAACATACTCAATAAACATCCTGTATATATCTATATATGTATGTATATATGTATGTATGTATATATGTATGTATGCACTAAATGTATATACATATACAAGGTGTCCGATAATGACCGGATCATAAAAAGATAGAGTGAACCAAATTGAGCGGTTTGTTATGTGAAAAATCCTATACTATTTTGAAAATTAATAAAAAATTAATTACAGGGTTGCCACAGAAAATGAATTTTGAAATTCCCTGACTTTTCCAAGTTTTCCAAATAACAGAAAATAGAAAATTTTTTTATAACTAATATCAAATATGTAAATTTTAATATTTAGAAGCAGGGATTGTAAAAAAGTTATCCTGTATTATTAAAAACGACATATATTTAGAAACTTATATCACGAAATCTTGATTTGGTTTTCCAATTTAAATTTTCTTAGTTTTCCAGGTCTATAGCAACCTTGAATTATTAAAAATCGTCAAATGAGCGCTTATCCACTCGATCTATTATCAGATACAAGTACACGGCAAGATACAATCATTCTATACGGGGAAGTATTTTCTTTCCACTCTTTGTTTTCTTTTCCACTCGTACGTTGCCATTGCCGCTTGTTATAGTAAACAACTTTCTACCTAATAATTTGTTAGGCTGTCGTATTTTGCTGTGCCTTTACATTTGGCAGTAGGGATGGTACTAAGCATGATACTCATTCGAAAAATTTCAATAATTGATTTCTCAGTTAATCATCAAATAGTACAGGACTTTTCGACAGTCCACTCAGTTTTGTCCGCTTTACTTTACCCTGTATACATACATGTATATTCAATAATATATTATTCAACTCCGTTTATGTGATACCTTTAATGAGTGGATTATTGCCACTATCTGCAAAAATAATGATGAATTCCGCTGTATCAATGTATTACTGTATCTGATTTTCTAAGAAATGATGAGAGAAAAATGAAGATCGAAAATATCTTTAAGAAAATTAATTGTATCGTTGTATCAGTGGGTGTTCTGAAAATAAGAACAAATAGTAACGATAAAAAAATTGAAAACGAGAGAATTAAATTACAGTTTCATGTGATTGAAAATAAAAGAACAGATAGAATCAGCCGCCAATTAATTTTCAACTGAAATAATCAAAATTAATCAACAGCTTCTATCAATAACTGAGAGGCTATATATGCAACAAACACTGGTGTTTTATTTTGCATCGTGCTACACGCATTATGATTGTATATTTCAGAGTAATCTCGACGATGATGATGTTTGCTTGCCGCGATATTGTAACGTTAGATTGTTAAAGAACTGTGTTCCTCGTTCAAAGAAAAAGGATAAATTTGTGCTCATTTTGGCTACTGCGATTAATTAATTCTTATTAATATACATATCGAAAAAAGTTTCGCGTCTTACTCCATTTTCATGAATTTCTCTCTTTATATGAAGATAAGAAATAATTTTTCTTATATAATATCACTTATTGACGTTTTATTTCCTCCATTGTATAATGTATTAGTATTATTGACGCTATTTCTCTGCATCACATGAGTAAGTATTAAATTTAATCGATATAAAACTTTTTTTCGATGTGTATTTTCTACTGGAACTAAAAAAGATGAAGATGGTCTGCGTATGACAGTCACTCTTGAGTAGTTGTAACCATATTAGATTGTGACGTCATAAGGGAAAAATAAGTTTCTTGCCATTTGTAAGTAAAGAGAATTGGAGTAAAATAAAATAATGAAATTGCTCTAAAACATTTAAAAATAGAAAAAGCTATCCTCTCGATCCTATCAGTCAGTAAATAGACGTAAGAGGCACACATTTATTAGAAGTGCGTTTATTAGCGTTTATTAATGCACATACACATAGCATATTCACTATACGTGCCTTTTAGAATTATTTTTACTGACTGTCAAGGAATGTTGCTAGGTCTGCTCAAAGTTATTTCCATGTATTATAAATTTTTCGATATTTTAATCGGAATTTGGATATTTCTTTGTATTTTCCTTCCAAAAAATTCTTCTAATTTTTGTTCCACCAAAAAATTTCGGTGGAAAGATAAATGTTTCAAATTTAACGGAAAATCCACCTGTCAACAGTGCTGTTAAGGTAGATAAGGAAAACTTTCTTCCATATAAGAGTTTTAAAGTGATATTATTATTTTGTTTTATCCTAATTTTTTTTATTTACAAATGACACATAAAACAGCTTTGTGTCATTTCTCGTTTATGATGTCGAGATTCAATATGACCGCAACAACTACTCAAGATCCTCAAATATTACTAACTTTGTTTAATTTAATATTTTCGCGTAGCTTATGAGCTTTCGATGAGTAAATGTTTTTAGCGTACGTATATGTATTTTATGTATTGTATTTTATATATATATATATATATATCTGTACATTTTAAAAGAGACGCATATATAAAGTGTAGGCATTACACTTGGCTGTATAAATACAAATATAATCATATCCTGAGGCTGTACCTATATATTGTCTTACCGATGATTGCGACATTTTTTGATTTATTGTAACAACGATGAGGATTGATACGTAATTCCATCGCTGGATTTTTAGATCCATGGATATTTAGCTAAATGTTAATGCAGAAATGATGAGATGTCAATCTCCATCACTATTTATTGTAATAAATACCAGAAAATAAAGAAAACTTGATCTCAAGTTATACATTATTTTTTTTCGTCGAGAAAACTTTTCTTGAAAATGAAAACCTTTAATCTTTCGATATTAAAATATTGAACTTGCTTATGTTAAAACTCTGACAGTTGTATTATTTATTTTTATTAAATCTTACTTTTACTATTATATTACTTTTATCTAAAAACTTCCAATTTAATATTTGTTTATGCGGTTTTTGTCGCTATAAAAACAATTATACATACATAACTTCTAATATTATGTACTATACTAACAATGTTTCATGATGTTCTATATTCTTTTCGATTTGTCCCCGTAAGCTATTATTTCAGAAAATTACAAACGATGAGCCGGATAATCAGCATACCAGCTGTAAGCTCCATTGGAGCCGGTATGTCCACCAAAATCAACATAGTCCAGGACATGCGCGGCCGATTGCTCGGAATACTGCATCTTGGAATCGTCTTGATGAGAAACGCTAGATACAGCAACGGGTATATACCCCTCCGTTTGTCTTTCTACCCTTGATAACGAAGGTGCGATTGAATTCACCTCGATGACGTCGATACTGTCAATATTATCGACAGGAATAGCGATGTAACGTCGATCTCCTAATATACCGCAAACGACGCACAGCAACGTCAATATAATATCCTGAAAAAAATAATCAAATTTTATTTAATAAACTGAAAGCCTATCAATGGCTTTCCCTACCCATTTACTGTCTGTAGATCATCTATGAATTGGATATTTATTTGACAACAAATATTTTAATTATTCTTATCATTCTGCTACAAAAGTACGTTTGGAGAAACGCTATTATGTCATTCTATCTTTATCATTCATTCATTCATTAAAAGTAAAACAAAGATAAAAACACAAACAGCACTAATAGTGCCTTCCCGAATGCAGCTTACACATACAGGTTTTATTCAAAAACGTTTACAATAACTATGTGTCGAGAGGTAATATGCATATCGATTTCATTCGCGAGGTAGATAATAATATAGTTATCCTTTTTTCATGTTTTTTTGATGATTTTGAAATCAAAACAGCCATTGTTACACAATATTTCATACTATTTTAACATTAAATATTTATAAATGTATATTTTTCCAGAATAGCCGTTGACTTGTTATTTTTTTTACCATTACAATCATAATTTTTTAACTAGTATAATCTCGTTTTTTATAGAGGTCTATAATAATATTGTGTACATTATATTCAAAGAATAAGCGTCTCCGATTCTTACGTGTTAGAAGTAGGTTTTACTTTAACTAATTATATAAAAAAATTAGAAGACATTTTTATTGTAACTCAATTTACTAAAAAATCACCTTAATTATTGATTTATTGGTTTTCAACGATAATTAAAAATAAATTTTTTCAATATAAGAAAAGAACACAAATAAAAATGAAAATTAGTTCCAAAATTTGTGAAATATTTTTATTGATTTTGTTTATTATTGAAAAACAAAATAATATATTCGTTCGAGAATGCAATTAATTCGATATAAAGAGATAAATAAAATGATTATTATACAATAAATTTGTTATTTACCAAATTATTCATTATTCTTGTGATAAACTGAAAGTAAACAGGAATTTAATTCGTCAAACTAAAGAGAGGAAGTCCGTCGTTGCAGTTTTATACATTTCGCTTCACCACAGCTTTCTAATCTTTGACAGAAATCGACAATTCTAGCCACTTCTTGCACCGTGTTTATCTCATTACGAGTCAGTTGTCGCGCTAAGCTAGTACGACCGCGATTTATTGAAACGTGCAGTAAAATACACACAAAAAAAATCATTATATCCTTCTTCTTAAGTTACGCTTTAATACTCTCGATCTTTTTGATTATTCTTTCTTTTCCCATACATTGTTCTTCTCATAATTCGTTCTGGTTCGCTTGTCGATTTAGCATGATGATTTAAGATTTAATAACTTCAACAGTAAATTTTTCAAAACAATTTTTATTCTTTTATTTACATTATATAATTGACAAAATTTGTTTTTTTCGTCGTTATACAATTGTCTGTATTTGAAACTTATAACTATACATACTATAAAAATTATATCAATATTTTTTCTTTCTTATCACATTTAACGTCATTTTTAGACGATGTAAACAAATAAACTTACACAATAATTAATAAAAAAAATTTAATCTTGATATTACTGAAAGAGTTACTTTAGTTTAACATTTTATTTTATTGATTTGTTCACACATACACACGTACACGCACACACACACACACACACACACACACGCACACGCACACGCACACGCACACACACACACACACACAATTAATTGCTAATAAAAATACGCATTAAATATATTTTTATTTCCTCTAATAATTAATTAAGTTTTATTAAAGGCAAAGAGAAACCCAGTAGCCTTTTTTTGTCAGTATTATACGTATTACATATGTGTTTTTGTTCTTAACACAGAACGGTGTCGAAAAAGATTAATTTTTTGCTAATCAAAATAAATCCTAAATTCAAGTGAAGTTCTTTTTTTATAATTTCGAGTGTGTTGAATTCAGAGATGATCATTTCATGATGGACGAGTTTTTTAATTCATCGATTGATCAATCGATGAATTAAAAAACTCGCCCGATATTAAAAATCAATAAAACCCTGGGAAAATGCCTTGAATTCGAAAATATCAGTAATCTGTGCGATGTTGCTAGGAGTATTTCTCAGTAATTTTTCAATAACGTTGCAGACAGTGTTTACTGATATCTAGATAAAATGTAGATGTAATTAGATGATCAGATAAAACTTATCTTTACCAGAATATTATCTTTATTTGTTTTTTAGATAAAAGTTTTGTATGCGTTTCTTGCACTCTTGTCTGCAAGTTTTTAATTTGAAATCATCACTGGCATAGAACCATGTTGATTTTAAATTTACATCCGAGCAATCACTCGACCTGTTATGCAGGATTGCAGGAGAAACTATTGTTCTAAACTATCTATAATTTCACTGAGGATAGCCCCAAATGTAACTGAAACTTTCGAATTCTAAGCAAGTTGAATAAATTTATGTTTAATTTTGATTACTTAATTGTATATTGTATTGTAATATTTGCGCATCAAATTCTGTGCCGTACTCACGTGTACCTTTTCTAATTTTTAAAAAATAACCGATTTTTTTCAAAGCAGGTTTTTACCCCTTTAATGTGTGACTCAACTAATATAAAAAAAAACGTATCTCTTATTTTTCTCCATAGAGCAATATACTAAAAGCTAATCAAAATCGAAGAGAGGTAGTTAGTTACGTTTTCTTTGACAAAGATGAAATTATCTAGATAATTCGAGAAAGGTAATACTTTTTTATCCAACTATTAAAATGAAGATAATATGTATTCTAGTAAAGAGAAACTTTATCTAATCATCTAATTATTTATAGATAATTTTATCCAGATACCAGTAATACCAGCAAACACTGCCATATCTAAATTCCTTGAAATTATGAAAAAACATTCAAATTCAAGGTTTGTTTCGATCAGCAAAAAAAAGATATCTTTTTCGATATCCTTTTTTAATATTTTTTCGATTTACAAAAGGCCATTACCTAAGCTTTAAATCTAAGTTATAACATCATAAAGAATCCAATCACAGTCGACTTTTCACATTTTACTGTGATTGGTGATCGATTTCTTACGGTTTATAACTTATAATGTTAAAAGTAATAGCTTATTATAGAAACCCTCTAATATTTAATATAAAGAAAGAAATATTATTACCTCTTTTAATGTATCGCTATAATTTAATTATTTCTTCAGACTGACATTGGCGTCATCATAATTGAACCGCGTTCAGTCAAGATATAAAGAATCAGGTAAAGATGGTGTAAATGGAAGATGACATTTATCACGAGACAACACCGAATTTGCTGTCAAACGAATATCTCAATTTAGACATAATGACCAGTTGCTCTAGAACAGAATCGCCCATGAACGTTCCTGAAGTGAGACTTAATTCTCCTGATCCTGAAATAATGCTTACTAAATCTAAACCTACATTGCCCAGATCGAAAGACAGCAGCACATTAAAACCACCGTTAAAACCGCCATCGTTGAATCTTATGATCCAAGCTTTCCAATTTGAGCCATTCCCAATTGTATCAAACTGTCTCCAATATTAATGTCCTGTGACAATAAAAAAAATTCATAAAATTTTTAAACAAATAAGTATACACGATGTCTCAAATTTAAATAGCCAAACTTTGAGAGTATGTAAGGGATCGATAAACAAAGAAAAAATTCTTTATTCTAGATATGCTGGTTTTTTGCCTTGTTTTAAAGAAAATCGAAAAAAGGCAAAACGTAATTTTCATTTTTGTACTTATTCATTACTTATTTGTTCTCACTTCATTTTAAAATACACAAATTGACTCCCAATACGATTCAATAAAAAATAGGGAACATTTTCAAACACGCTCAAAATTGCGTGTTCAAAAACATAAAAAATCTAAACACTTCATAAAACCGAAAAGTATTTACGTTATATAAATTAAAAACATTGAGAACCTAGTTCAAGATTTACGAAATGTATAAATCTTTTTATCTCTTTTGTCTCACCTTATCGTTATCTTTGTCACACAGATCAATACAAGGAATCAGTGAATTTTCACGGCGTGATCCTCCGTAACCAACCGGACGTTCTTTGTAGCCTTTAACTTGAGCAACGAGCGGTTTCCATCTCGCTAAATGAGTAAGTTCGGCGAACTTGTCATTAGCTTCGGAGCTCCACTTACTTTCTCTAAAAATATTATGTTTCGTTGGAGAATAATTGATAACCGTTCCGTAAAATCCATTGATCAGTGAGATATTAATTTACCGTGGCTTTACGTTTGCCAATGAACACTCTACAGCCTGTAGGCGTAAGCTTAACATGTCTGTACGAAGTTCTAATATATCATCTATAGAAACAATTTCCAAATCTCCATAATCCACAAAAAAGACTTTGTATTCAAAAGATTCTATGATGGATATAACTTCTGCACGATACCACTTGTTGTCATATTTAAATTTGGCTGCTACCATTTGGCCTACTGTTATCTAGAATCAACACATAAATGGTTATAGATATAATTAATTAGTACTAATGGATCAATTATAAGCAGAATCATAAGACTCATAACTATGTTTATATTTACGTTTTTTAAAGTATGAAGCTGACGATTTTCATTGTCATCATAATACTTTGTCATATTGTGCACTAAATCTTGTAAATCAGTATTTGCAGTACCAACCACTTGAATCCAAAACAAACTTGGCGTTTCCATTGCAGATACATAGATTTCCATTACACCATCTACCAAAATCAAAATTTAATTATAGTACAATATACAAAAATCAAATGTTTCACAAATATAATTTTTTTCCAAATATCTTATTCTAACACAGTTTTTGAAACATTATTAAATGTTCTAGTACCATTGTTACATGGAGAATCAAATATTCTTTTTATGGTCTTTGTAGATTGATAATTCCCTTCGTTATGAAATTCAGTATCCTCTTTAATTTTATTTTTTATCTGATTAGTAGCTAGTTCTATTTGTTTACCAGTCCCAATTATTGTTACAGTTCTTTGATCACCTAGAAAAAAAATTACTATTGCATTAATTGCTATTATAGACTCCAACAGAATACAGGGATTAATCCAAAAACAAATGTGTCCTATTTTTGGTTAAAGCAAATCTAGATGCTTAATAATGAAGCTTATCTATCTAAATTTAATTTATAAATTAATCGTACATCATAATACAGTTAATAATTAAATATCTTATCAATTCAGAGAAATTATGAAAGAAATGTTAAAAAATAATATATACTTTCATTAACATTTTCAAGCATGATTTTTGCGCCAGAGATTTTTTCAATTTCTTGCACTGTGTATCCATTTCTTCCTATGATCGTTCCACAAGCTTCATGTGGCACTAATAACTGATAAATTTCAATATCAGAATTGTCTGTTGTATTTTTAATATCAGTATCAACATGTTCGGATGTAGATATTATTGCAGCCGCAACTTGCATTCCTAGTTTATCTTCAGCTACAATTTCATCTTGAACTTTGTCTTCTATTTGATTAATGGCTGCTGCTATTTGATCAACAGTTCCCTTTAGTATTATCCTTCTCTTGAATCCAGCTATAAAATATCAATAACTATTGTAGTAACATAATAATAATGTTATAAATTTGATGTAAATATTAGAAACATACTTTCAGTTTTATGAGGTTCACTCTCAAGTATAAGTTTTGTACCATGAGTTTTTTGAATCATTTGTGCAAATCCAATATCATTCCAATTTCTTTTAAAAATTCTTTTAGAAACTTCGTAAGGAATAAACAATTCAAAGGTTTCGATGACAGGTAGATTGTTTATTATAGATTGTATCATATTCTGTGCTGAGTAAATGTTTTCTGTGTTATCAGACCGAAGGTAACAGACACGATCTAGACAAGATAAGTTTGCCTTTTCCATTTTAATATGTGTATTAGTTAATTCTTCTATATTTCTTATAACAGTTCCACCTTTACCAATGACAGCAGATACATATTTCTCAGGAATTTTAAATTCTACACAAATTTCTTTGCGTTTAGATGTTGCTATCTGATTATATTTCTTTTTATCATCATCATCCTGCAACATTAATAAGCTTGTATATGAAATAAATAAACTTTATTGAACACTTTATAAACAAGTTAGCAATTGAGAAAACACAGTATAAAAAAATTTTTTGTCAAGAAAGCAAGCTTTACCTTTTCAACCATAGTATACAACAAAATTGCCACTGATAGTCCAAAAGTTGTTAAAGATATGCCAAGTAAAATCGGTAACACCGATTGCCTGTTCACAGTTGTTAAAAACCCCATTTTTCTATAAATTTAAACCAATACAATATATTGTATAACTCTGCAAGTGCAACAAAAAAAAAAACATTTATGTAATTAATAATTTATCATCAATTTATATAACATATATTTATTTACATTCGTCTAATATAAGGTAAATTAAAAAAACAGCTAAAATGGAAAAAGTGGTTTTTATAATACCAGTATATTCGGATTGATCGTGGATTGATCTGAATCATGGACTACGTTCATACTTGATTACGTCGAAATTACACGTTGATGTAATCATGGATGTAAAAAGACAGATGTACCATTTCTATGGATGCGCAGTCGTCTAAAATAATAACCAATCAAAAATCACTCAAGATGTCAGGATTCAATATGGTTGCGACTGCACATGTGCTTTTAGAATTTTGACTAATAGATTATTAAATTCGTGAATGTTTTTATTATATAAATGCGGTGTAAATAAGTACGCATACTTTTAATGTTATAATATCTTATATATTGTCGAAAAATTACAATATTTTCTCTGCAGTTATCATTAAGCGCGTTCAGCAGACTCAACAGTTGAGTGAGCGCTCGCTATTTTGGTGCATTCTTCTAGATTAAAAATTCTGATTGGATGATCTAAAAGAATACACCAATAATAGCGAGCGTTCATTCAACTGTTGAGTCCGTTGAACGCGACCATTCTCTATTGATAATCGAACTCGGATGATAACATAGAAATTACAATTTTAATAAAAATCGAGTATTATTAGGTTTTAAACATATATACATGTCTACGACACTAATAAATCATGAAATTAATAACGTATTATCAGTGCCGATAAAGGGTTAATTATATTTATGATACGATTAATTTAGCGTTTAAACTTCGCTCCACTTCGCTCTGTACTTCTAGGCATTTTTTATTGGCTCACTACGATCTGTATAATAACACGTGACATATGGCCGGTATTCATAGTCAGTTATCATATTCAAAACCGTTTTTAGTTCAGTCTTAAGATCACACAAACCAATCGCATTTATTATCAACCGCATTTATATAATAAAAAGACTCACGAATTTAATAATATATTAACCAAAATTCTGATAGCACGGGAATGATACACCTGTTTTTTTTACATCATGGGCCGCTCAGTGAGCTCTATCATCCGATTAGCATATTCCATTAGAATCTAAAATATAGACCAATCAGATGAAAGAGCTCAATGAGCGCTCAGTGAACGGTCGTGTTTGGATGCACCCATTATGAGCTTACTGTTCGCTAAAAACAGGTCATGTGATCAAAATTGACGAATAGCAAGCCCACAGCTTGATGTTCGACATTTGACGCTACTATGTAAAGGTACCTTTATTTGAAATGGTCGAATTCCATTAAATCGATCTTAACGTAATTTCAATTCTCGATGTAAATACGAACTTTTTAAATTATTAAAAATTATTCTGTTGAACTGTAATTTACAGCTTGCACTAACAACAACTAACCAGTAGCGATTAATGCATCAAATTTTGATGTATCTAGTTTTTCATTCACCGTATCAAAGCTCGAGTTATATATAGCGTGAAGTTCTAGGATGTTGCTTTGCGCATCAGAATAAATGTGTACAAAATGTGTACGTAATTGTCTTTCGCGTTAAGCTCTCGTGTCGTCGTGGTTGCGTGAGGTGAGAGTGCTGTAAATATATTAGTAATAAACATGATTCGATCCAGTCGAAGAAATAGACTCCTATTCGTGTGTTCAAGGTCGAGGGTATAACGATATACTGCGTGTATACTACAAAACCACACGCCGGAGTCGCGCGCGTCGAGAGCGTGCAATTGGTGTCCTGTTGACTGCTCGTGTTTCGCGAACCGGAGTACGTGTGTATGTACTACGCTCATATGAACACACGTCGCGCATCGCTCATTTCCACGAAACGTGTGCGGTATAAAAACGAACCATGTGTGGCCCTGGTGATGCACTGTTGGAATAGCAATCAACTGCGCAATGAGCGATAGGTGTGGCATGTGAAAAAGGAAAGGAAAAAAGCGCGTCACCGAGTTGTCGCGAGTGATCCGAGAGAGAGAGAGAGAGAGAGGGGACGTAGAGTGTACTCCAGAAGAGATTTCATGAGACACGCAACATTATTTCATTTTCTCAACGCAAATCGTCATTTCGAGGAAGATCTCGCGTTTCAACCCGCACGTAGACGTTCTCGTAAGACTCCAACGTATTTTACGCGTACTGTTGTCCGTGAGTGTACCGTGCCTGCGCCTATGCGTCTCCATTCGTCGCGCGCTCATCTACGTAGTAAGGACAGTGGAGGGGAGAATAGTGGTGCCGGTAGCGGCGGTAGTCGCGGTAGTGGGGAGGGAGGACGAGAGGAGGCTTCACGCGAGAGAGTGAGGTTAGCTTGTATGTGTGCTCGCTTTCTTTCTCTCTCTCTCTCTCTCCTTCTCTCTCACTCGCGCGTCAGATCTCGGGCTCTGTCTCGCTCATCCCTGTCTCGTGCGCGCGGAACCGTTGCGCTCCTTTTTGTCTCTCTCTCTCTCTCTCTCTCTCTCGTACGCGCGCGCTTGTCGCACGTTTGTGCTTGCTCGCTCCCTCGCCCGTCGGCTGGCGCGTGCGCGCGCGCACTAACGGAATTTGCGATCGAGCACGCAGGGACCACCGACTAATGTTTAAATGGACGCATCGTCCATTATCACCCAAGTGTCGCGGGATGACGAGTTAGGCGCGTTCAACAGCGAGAAAGGTGCGTACCGCGTAAATATATCTGTGCCATCCTGTCTTCCCTCCACCCCCGCGGCCGCAACACACTCCACCAGATGCTGCCGAGATTTTATATCCTCCGCACCTGTTACGGAACTCCGCATCCGCGTTTCTCTACGTTGCCTAACTTCACTCCTCGTCTTGCCTCCCGTCCCATCCGCAACAACTTCTCGTATGTCGTTTTCTCCTCCTTTCTGTCACTTTCTGCTCCTCGACCGTAGTTGTCATCCCTTGTCATTTTACCATTTTAAATTGTTTTACATAGCACATCCACTGAGCGATGTCACAAATTTTCTTATTTTCTTATGCCCTTTAACCTTTCACGTGCCTTTTATGAGACTCTAAGGGCAAGCCATAAAGACAGCAAAAAAAGACTCGCTGTAAAAGATTAAATGCAGCACGTCGGCCGCTTCCATGATTGTGCATACATACATATGCACAAGATGCAATTGCTTATTTTATTTGGTAGTATCAGTTTAGATTGGATGATCGGTATGCTTCTGTGTCAATAAAATTTGAAAAAATATGTATATATATACATGTGCAGAAAAAGAGACATTACCTTTTTAACCTTAATCTATAAAAATTTCTAAAATCACATCTCAAAAATATTAAGTTCCTGATACTTTCATAAATTTTTGTCCCAGTATGCGTTACATATGTATGTACAACAAGTATGAAAGGTAGTAAAATTTATTTAAATGTACATACAGTTTAAGGAAATGTAATTTATATTGCAAACTTAAATATATTTTTCAAATTTAATCTGCAACATTTGCATAACATTAATTGACACTGGTAATTATTTATTACTTTTGTTTTCTTTGTATTATAGCTCAGTTACCTCGAGAAAATGAAGCAGCCAACAATACTTCGTCAAATAGCAAGAAGCCAAGAGGACGTGGGCTCTTACGCTCACTGTTCTGTTGCTTTGGAAGAGGTCGTAGTGGCAGTTCAAAGAGCTCCAAGGCAAGTTCTTTACAAGGTGAGGGACGTGGGTCGCCACCACCTGGCACTGGTTCTCCAAGATTTCTCTTACCACCAGTTAGGCACCAAGACATGCACAAAAAGTGCATGGTAATCGATTTAGACGAAACTCTGGTGCATAGTTCTTTCAAACCGATCAACAATGCAGACTTTGTTGTTCCTGTAGAGATTGATGGAACGGTACATCAAGTGTACGTCTTAAAGAGGCCTTATGTGGACGAATTTTTACAGAGAATGGGTGAATTATATGAATGTGTATTGTTCACTGCAAGTTTAGCTAAGGTAGGTTTATAAACAAACAAGTAATTATTTTGAAATATGAAATATTACAAATTTTAGTTAAAGTATATTAGTATAATTAAACATGCTTTTGCAATAATTGATTTAACATTTGTATAATATTTAATTTATTGTAAATTTACTAGCCAATAAAAGGTGCAATAGAGATTTCAAACATTTATATACTAGTAAATTGTATTGTTACATTATTAATATTTTTATATATGAAAAATTATCTTGTTAAAAAGATTACTTTATCTTCAGAGAGATGTAATCATAAAATAGAGAAAATTACTTTTACTATAAAAAATTTAATAGAATTATGAGACTTGAAAAAAATAAAGAAAATAAAATTCTACAAATTATTTTATACATTTGTAGTATGCCGACCCAGTAGCAGATTTGTTAGATCGATGGGGGGTATTTAGAGCAAGGTTATTCAGAGAATCCTGTGTGTTCCATAGAGGAAATTACGTTAAGGATTTGAACAAATTAGGACGGGATTTGCAACAAATCATTATTGTAGATAATAGTCCTGCCAGTTACATTTTCCATCCAGATAATGCTGTAAGTTATATATTTATAATAATATGAAAAAGACTAATTTTTTTGGTGTTGAATAAAATTTATATCATTATTTTTATTTTTATAATCAAATGAGGCATTAAATGAATTTGTTAAGTGATTAACATTAAATAATAAATAAACACCACGCTGGTTGCAAACATTTTTTAAAATATTTGATAGATTTGTTTTAGAGAACAAAACTATGCTTTATTTTTGTGTGATTGAGAGACGATTTGTTAATTGTCCTAGCATCACTTTGTCATTTATTCTTTTGTTTACTTTAGCCCATGCACCACGCATGTCTCTCCATTGATGATATTGTGCACCACAAACGAAAAGAAATAAAATAAGCTCGGCGCCAGGATTAATGAATCGTCTGTCACACAAAAGACAGTATATTTGTATTCTCTAAAGCATATCTATCAAATATTTTGAAAAATCTGAGACTGGTGTGACATATAAACGGAAAGTCCTTCGGCACCACTGTAGCATTTAACGTATTAATAATACAGATAATATTTGTTTATAGGTTCCAGTAGCATCTTGGTTCGATGATATGACGGACTCTGAGCTACTGGATTTAATCCCCTTCTTTGAAAAGCTCAGCAATGTGGAAAACATCTACACGGTGCTGTGTAATAGTAATCATCCTTACAATCAGATACCGG